CTGAAGAGCACTATCACTGTTCTGCCAAATGATAGCCAAAGTGGGAGCCATGCAGATCTGTTGAAGGAGAATTCAGTGGTACAAAATCCAGGTATGTTCTTAGTGGTTGATTGCCCTTTGCATGCCAGTCTAAGAACAGAGATGGTCACAAACAGAAGGATGGCCTTCTTTTGAAGCAACTTTGGTGCAAGAATTAACTTGGTTCATAGGAATTAAGGCAGACAGCAAACTCTGAGGAGTTTGCAACACAGAAATAATAATAATAACATGACATAACTTCCAAGACTGTTCAGTGCCCACACACTAAGAACTTGTAGGACTGTGGACTTGGATACAGGCCTGTCATCTTGGACATGAAACACCAGTATAATTTACATCAGTTTTGTACACTGATGTAAAGTCCACCAGAAAGCAGTGCAGAGAGACGAGTAATCTGGAAGTAGCTGCCACAGTAGGTGCTATTAAAACTCTTTGCCACCAAGGAACAGGTTACAACCTGTTTGCATTGTGTAGACTGTTACCCCAGTATAACTGCAGACACACAATATTTACACAGGTGGAGTTTTACCCACTTTCTCCCCCCCACCCCCTTCAGGGTCAAGCAGTGCCAGATCCCAGTAGGTTACACTGGTGTAGAGCTACCTATGATGTGTTCACACCTTTTTTAAGAGCCATGTAAAGGCAAGTTACACCGGTGTAAGTGTGCCATAGGGCTGGATCCTATTTGTCAGCAGACTACCTGGTGTCTCCTGCCATAAAAGTCAGTCATAAACTCTGTTCTAAAGCTGTACCAAGGCCAAACTCAGCAAAATACTCATGATGCTCTTCTGGCCACACAGGTGTGCTGCATTGTTTGGGTGGCGCAAAGCACTCAGGAAAAACAGTGTGTCTGGGTTTGTGTTCAATTTTATAGCATTTTTATATGTACCCAGCAAGTTTCACAGCTGTTTGGTGCCCAAGCTCCCCTTATATTTACGGGACAAATACACTGCTCCTCAACCTACTTCAACTTGACATCCCAGTTAGCTTGTGGCTAGCAGCCAAGCATTATTGTGGGTCATGCAGCTCTCTAATTTACGTGAAGGAGGCCTCTGTCTGTCAGCATGTACTGAAGGAAAAATAAGTTTGCCATGGTTAATAGGCAAAATCAAAACCAACCATGTTTGGGATATGTTACGCAAAATGTTCCATATGTGGCCAACATTTTATGATGTATCCACACGGCAAGATTAATCAAGGACACTCGTGTGGTATCTTCCAGGAGACTGTTTAGCAACTCTTTGCTTTTTCTACCATTGCACTTCCGTCAGAAGGTCCCAGTCCTCTGTAGGGGTGATTGCAGATGGGGAAATGGAGTGAGAGGGCAATTAAGTAACTTGCTTAGAGTTGCACAGAAAATCTGTGAGGGCATCAGGCATGGAGCCTGATCAGTGTTTCTCAATCAGTGGGGCATGTCCCACTGGTGGGACGCGAAGGTCGTGTAAGTGAAACTTATCCAAAAAAAGTGGCATGCTTGAGAAAGGTAGGGGGCCTGCAGGCTCGAGATTCTGCAGGAATACACCTCTTGGAAAAAGTGGGGTTTTGTTTTTATCATGGTGGGACCAGGGGTTTTTGACAAAATGGTTGGTGGGACATAAGGTGCAAAAGGTTGAGAACCACTGCTCTAGATGACCAGTCCCGTGTTTTAATTGTAAGGGAAACCTAGTCCAAGCCCTGTTACATGAAGTCTTATAGGCAACATGTGGACGTCTGGAGTCCCCAAAGATCTGATTTCACTCTGCTGCCCATTAAGCGTTTTGGCAAGGAGGCATATTTACTGGAAAAGAAAGGATGATGCATTCGTTCCTTAGAGCGCAAACAGTAAACATGTTCATCAGGCAGGAGGTTTTATGAGAGATGGAGGCAGTGAAGGGAAAATAACCTTGATACTAAATAAATGTTTTCCCTATGCAGTCAGATCCCATTCGTGATACTGCTGGGTCATGGACAGTTACTTCACGTGGGTGTTTAGAGCAGCATGCGCACATCCAAGCTGAAAGGCATTCCCTCCTTGCTGCTGCTCTCTCGCCGAGCTTAGGCACCCATGCTTGCATCCTGACTTAGCTAGCTGCACTGAACAGAGCAGGGTGTTTGTCCTGCTTGCTATTTGCTTGCTGAAGCCTTGACTGGCCAGCACAAAGTGGGTACAGCCTTCAAACCGTGCTGCAGGGAGCCTGAGAAGTCAGCTCTCCACATTGATTCCACTTGAAAACCTTCAGCCCAGTGCCCACTAGGTGGCAATGCAGTCCTGTTTCTCCACTGGAGGACAGCACTAAGATGCCAGTCTCAGGCTGCCTCTTGTTTCTGTGCCATTTAACTTTGAAGTGATTTTCGGACTTGTGAAAGGTCCCATATTCATAGCACCAGCGACTAAGTTTCCCGAAGCTGGGACAGAGCAGGGAGGAGCAGAGCAGGCTTCCTGGTGCCCTCTCTTCCATTTGGCCTGAACGCTAGCTGAGCAACTGGCTGTCGGTCCTACTAATGAACCTGCCAGTTAGCAATGGGATTGGGACCTCCAGTACATTTTTCCATAGGCCACTGACCTTCCACCAGTTGTAGTATAAGGGGGAGGTGTATACAGACATATTATGGGGTGTAATCTGGGGCTGTCTGACCTTTATTAAGGTCCTCCTGCTATTGCCCTCTAGTCTTCTTTAGTGTGTGTGTATGGAGGACCAGGATTAAGATCATGCCACATCAGTCACTAGCAATTTCCAGTGTTGCTAGGATTCAAACCAGTGTCCTAAAAGAAATTGGCTTTACAAGCCATGCCCAGTAAATGGGAACAGAGCTGTAGGGATGCTGAAATGTACAGGAAGGTTTTACAGCTCCAGTGACACATTTACCACTCTTGAAGCTTGCATTTTCACTTGCCTTTACCTTGGATTACAGAAGGATAGTAAAAGAGTTTGCTTCCACTCTGTCTGTAGTGTCCTAATTCAGATAACTTTGCCTGATGGTAGACGGGATAAATAACTCGCCCAGCTGACCTAAAGAAGCACTAGCATTTTACAACCTCTATTAAAAACATTTGGTCCAAGAATTTGCCAGAATTTAGACAAATGCTGATCTTTTTACACCCTCATTTGTAGTGGCAGGAGGCAGCCTGGGTACACATTGGAACTGAATAGGTGGAACTGCTTGATAGGAAATAAACTGAGACAAGTTCTCCACAGACCTTCACCTGTATGTGTAGATGCACCCAGCCAGTTTCCCCGGAAGATTTGTGCTTCCACTTTCAGAGACACTGTTCTTTTATAGTTTGTTTGCTGAAAATGTTGGATAAGAACAGAACATGAGACAACAACAACTTCACTGTCAGTGGCTGCTAGGGGCAGTGGATTGGGAGCCAGGAAATCCGGCTTCTATTCCAGTCTCTGCCACTGACCTATTGGGTGGCCTTGTTCAAGCCACTTCCCTTTGCTGTGCCTATAATTCACTTCCTGTGCATTGTCTTCTGGCTTGTCTTTTTAGTGTATAGATACTCTGAGGGCAGGGGCTCTCTCTTGTGATGCACAGAAAGCATCTAAGCACAGCACTGATGAACTGTGCAATTCTTCTATGGCTTTGTGTTAACATGTTGGGAAGAATAGTGCCAACAAAAAGGACAGAGAGTGCATTGAAGGTTCAATGAGAAGCTCAAAGCCGCCACCACTGTAAGTTGTTCTGAGCAGTTGACTCACCCTAGAGCTTAATGTGACCAATGGGTCCTGCTCACATGGAGCAACTTGCTGAAGTAGCCTTATCTGTGATACACCTTTCACCAAGTACAATATAGATACATGTGACCATCTGGTATCCCACTTCTACCTTCTTCAGCAATAGACAATTGGGCACCTTCCCAAAGCAGAGGGAAATGTCCTCTTTCTCCAGACCATTGAAAACATTCCCCCCTGGCTACCATCTTGCCTGACACCAGGACTCAATGGGGGATGCCCAAACCCAGACTGCGGAACTGTAGGATCATGGGACTGGAAGGAACTTCCTGGATCAGAGGCTAGTCTTCTGTTATCACTGGCAACTATGACATGTAATTTTATTCATAAAGTGATCAAGCTTTATCTTTAACCTAGTTAGTCTTTCTGCTCTTGCTACTCCAATTAGGTGGTTTTAATGGAACCATATCCCCTGTGGACTGGACAGAGGGAGAGAGGCAGCACACACTAATCAATGAGTTAGGCCTACTTGGAAAGGGTCTGGTAAGGACACAGATCTGTACCAGAAGAGAAGTGTGCTTAGCTTGAAGCAAGTGATTTCAGTGGAATGATTCCTTCTTCCCTAAGGTCACAGAGCAGAGAGGGATACATAAAATCTTCCATTGACTGTACTTCATTGCTTCAGGATAAGGAAGTGTCTACATTTGCAGCACCAGGAACCTTAGCAAGGAGAATTCCTGCTTTAAGGGGTTTTTTTAAGGCAAAACTAGCAAAATCACACCATTTAGGTATTTACTGGGGTAACAGCTAGGAGCCCCAGTGATGGAGCAGAATTCCCCGTGCAGGACACTACAAACACAGAACACGAGCATGGAACCTGGCCCAAAGTACAAACCGTGAGGCAACAGGTAGGATCAGGTGGACAGACAGGAAAGCAAGAGTATGTGCTAATCAGCATGATCAGCAATGGTCACAGTGTACTAGCTGCCTACTTTTGGTCAAGTTTGAACATTGAACTTTCCAAGGGGTGAGAGTTTTGTTCTGTCAAACAGGATTCAAACAAGTCCAGTCATCTGTCACCTCTTCTCACAGCCTTTGCACAGTTGTGCATCCCATAAGACAGCCTCGCCCTTGTTTAATTAGGGCTTTATCTGGAGATCAGAAATATTTGGATCTGGATCTTTCAAACAGAACAGCATTTCATGGCAACCTGGCCAAAGGGAGTTATGCAACTATGAAATATCATGCTTTAATATTACTTAACTAGCAGCAGCTGCTTTAGAGCTGAAACAAATTACCCTGAAAGAAAGATTTTTTTTACTGGAGAAAACTTTGAACTAAATTACAGTATAATCTACTCATAAATCCTTTTGTTTTATGAGGGGACTCTGGTCTGTTGCTTAGAATAGGGCAATGAGACTTGGGGTATCTATGATCCTCTTTATAACTCTGTTTCTATGTGTCATTTTAGATGCATAAGAAAGGCCCAAACTTACCAAATGTCATACTGATTTCAAGTGCCCAACCTGAAGTGCAAATAAAGACACTGGTTGATACTCACAAGGACAATTAATTGCTGCAACAGATCAGGGAGCTCCCCGTTTCTTGGAGTCTTGAATTCAAGTTTGGATGTCTATCTAAAAGGCACCGCTTCTAATGCAATCCCAAGTTACAGGGCTTGATAGTAAAGGAGAATAATTCCCTCTTCTTTAGGAGTAATGGGTGGATTTCTTGGACTTCTGGTTTTGCAGGATAGGTGATCAAATAGATGATCAAAAGGCTTCCTCCCAGCCTGAAGGTCTAGGAAATGTCTAATGTAACTCTTCAGCAATTCAGTTGAGCACCTACAGAAAAGCTCACTTAATTACAGTTTGCACTTATATAACGCAGACACCTTCCTTTTGAGTATTTCCAGGTGTCTCACAAAATAGCATTATGCCAGATAATGTTGCATTTGTTCAGTAATTTACCTTACAGCCAAACTGTGAATCAGTAAAAGTCTTCTACTCCGAAGGCTTCCTTGTGCTTTGTAGATTTACATCTGGAAGAGACCACTGTGATCATTTACTCAGACTTGCTGTATAAGGGAGACCCAGGCCAGGGAATGTCACCCTTGACTCTGGATTCTAACCCTGTCACTCATGGTTCAACTATTGCCTGTTTTCCAGAAAGAGTTCCCAGTTTTGGGTTAAAGACACAAAGTTCTACATCAAGGAGTCCTTCCTGTGTAAGAGACTGCCCTGGAACAGAAGGATTCCAGCTATTGCCCTATGATGTTTCAAATAATAGTTTCTTTAAACTGATTTGAGAAACTCAGACTTTTAAACAGAATAAATATGGGAAGAATCTTTACTAAAAATGCAGTGCCAGCAGGGCTGAATTTGATGGTAGGCATGCTTTAAGTGAAGTTAAACCTATTTAGATTACTACCTGGCTTTCAGAATCATGAAGGCCATAAGGATCTCTGCATTCACCAATAAATGCACTAGCAAGATGCACCAATCCATCTCCTCTCACTGGTTTATTGTCTGATTGCCACTTTGCTTCTCTAGACAGAATTTCTGGCTGAAGGAGAGGGAGCACGTATGGGACCCAGGTGCTATGGGCAGCTGTGCTGCTGATTCGCTCTGTGACATTGGCAAGGTCAGTTAGTCAGTTTGTGGCACAGTGCTCCATCTGTCCAACAGGGATAATACTACCCCTCTACATCCAAGGAACATTGGGAGAACTGAAATGCTTTAAAACCCTCAGAGGGAAGTTATGCTGCTATATGAGTGTAAAGGATTATTATAAGAGCAAGAAGATCCCCAGCTGGTATCAATTGCTGTTGTTCCACTGCAGGCAATGGGCCAGATCCCCACCTGCTGCAAATTGCCAGAGCTGCACCAAAGCCATTCTTCTTCATTTAAACTTTTTGAGACTCTGTCCCAACAATTTTGGAAGTGGGGACGACTACTACTACTACTACAGGTGCAGAGAAGGCAGCAGGATATCAGGTAGAAATAAGGTACTTTAAAACATAAACAAGGACTTCCTTTGAAGTTGCAAAGGGAGAAGAACAGGCAAGACTTCTTGTTCCTGTCTGTCTGTGCTCTGTATCTCTCTATCAAAAGATCTGAAAGCACTTGACAAAGACTAATTGCTGTTCCTGCAATGTCCTTAACAGGTAAGCACTGTGATGCTTAACATGTGAACAGACTGGTAAAGTGATGTACCCAAAGTCACTCAAGGTATCTGTGATAAAGCAGAAAATAAAACTGATCTTTAAGTAACCAGTGCTGTGATTTAAGAATTAGAAGTCATACACCAGACCCTCATTCTGCTGGTGTATATCAGTGTATCTGAAGATCTCGCCTTATGCTTTTTAAATGATTGGGCACTGATGGATGCAGAATAGTATCATAGGATTGACTTAGCAGGAGCTGGATGGAGTAGGCATTGTTAGTAATGCAGATATGGCAGACTTGGCAGTTCTAGCTGCTGTCTTTCCAAGGGTGTTTGCTTGTGGCCTGCCCTTCTGTGTCACAGAGAAGCTCTGGGAGGCTCAGAAACCTTTGAGCTGCTAATGATATGAGCTTTGTGGCAGTAAATCTCTGATGTTGTCAGTAGGATATCTGTCTGGAACTTATGCAAAAAAACGAAGGACATTCATTCAGTAGACAGTTAAGAACACAAGATTACTGAGCTGTGTTTGGGGAAGTAGTAAATAACTAGGTTTGTATAATGGCTCTGACATAATGCATTATGCTTGCCAGAAGTAAGCTCTTATTTTTAAACCTCTGTAACAGTGATCCACCCAGACTGGCTAATACCTCTCAAAGTGTCAGTATATCAAATGGCAACACAATTGTTCCTGCATGAAGTGCTTGTTCAGTTAATTTCTGAGCTTTATTTACTTTAAGGAGGAGAAATATCTTCTTGGGGGATAACCAGTTTAAACAGGAATGTATTTGGAACACCTTGGCTAGGGACAGACATTCAAAAAGCTGGAGCCTGACTTGATTCAATCTTTGCAGGTTGGTCTAACTGGCCTAGATTGAACCAGTTTCCAGCTGAGCAGACATCCTTCTGGACTGAGGAACTGCGGGCATATGCCTGCAGCCACTGAGGCCAGGAGCCAAGGGGTGCTAGATACAGTGCACCATCAGCTGCAGGGAAGCTGTGCTGGGGGGCACGGCCAGGCTGGGTAGTCGCCTGGAGTGAACTGGCCAGGGAGAGAGTTTAATTCCCCCCTCCCAGTCCCACCGACCCGAGCAGTGGTAGGAGCACAGCCAGACACCAGCTGGCATGGCCCCCTGAGGCAGAGGGGGGTTATTTCCGCTGCCGCTCGCTCCCTGCATGGAGCAAGGAGGAAGAGGGGAGAATAACCAGACACCACGGGGGGGGGCTGTGGGGCCATGCTATGGCCTCCTATGAACCCCAGTGCTACTGCTCACCCCGCACAGTCCATGACAGCTCTAACCACCTGCTTACAGCCCCCTCCACTGGGAAAAGGCTCGTGCTCCCTGAAAACCATGATGGGGGCTGCTGTCCCCATCAAGGGACCTGGCCCCTTAGGTGGGGGGGCAGGGAGGAAGGATATTCTCTCTGTCTGGTGGAGGGGGCTTATCCTGTCACTTGCCCCACAGAGGGAGCAGGCAGCTGTGGTCAGACCCTACTGCAGTCCCCTGGGGGCACAGGAGGGAGTAATCCCCTGCCCTGTACCCCTCCCCTGCAAGGAGACCATGCTGGCCTGCATCTGGCTGTGCCCCTGCTGCTGTAGCAATGAGTGGGGAGTGCCAGGTGGACCCTGGCTTGGGTCCAGGCTGGCAGGACAGGGAGGGGGGAATTAAACCTCCTACCTGGCCAGTTCACTCCTGGCTACTGCCAGGCCTGGCCACACCCCCACCACTGGAGCAGCCAGTGGAGAAATGCAGGTTCATGCTGGTGGGACAGGAGAGGGAGGGGGGAATTAACCTCTTTTCTGCTCCCTTCCAGGACCAGTGTGTGGCCAGGCCTCCACCTCTGCCTGTCCCTGCTCTGGCTGAGGAGCAGAGAGGCAGGGCTAGCCCTGCTCCACTGGAGCAGAGAGCACAGCCCAGAGAGTATGCTGGGATGCTGGGGGACTCTGGTTTAACTTATCAGGAAGGGATCTGGGACAGAAATTGCATAAACTAGTTTGAGCTCCATCAATTAAGTCTGATACTACATTCAACCAGCTTTATCTCAGACTGGTTTCGGCCACTTTGAAACTGGTTTATGCACACTGAATTTGTTCTGTTACAGATTTAAACCAGTTTCTGATCACTTAAACCAGTTTGTGTAATGTCTACCCCTAGCCCTTGTATGCATTTTCATGCATGCAAGAGAACCTGAACTACCATCAGCTGTAAGGCACCTCAGCAGCAGTTTACTTGAATAACAGTAAGTGTGGAGCCCTTGAAGTTGGTGGAAAGATTCTCTGTAGGCTTTGGATTGGGTCAAAAGAGTAGCTGTAGGGTGTCATGAATCTATTGCCAGTACACCAGAGATAAGGCTGTTGCATAGCTATGGGATGTCCCTACATAAATAACTCTACCCCATCACAGATTCACAAAAGTTTAGGGCTGGAAGGGACCTCATGAGATCATGGGGTCCAGCCCCCCTGCTCTGCACAGGAAAGACTGCTGGGGCCAAAACCCCAGCAAGGTGTGCATCCAGTCTTGTTTTGAAGATCTCTAGGGTAGGTGCCTGCACCACTCCCGCTGGGAGTCTATTCCAGAGTCTGGTCACACGAACTGTGAAGAAGTATTTCCTTATATCCAGTCTGAAACCTTCTTCTATGAGCTTATGACCATTGCTCCTGGTTTTCCCCTGGGGTGCTTTGGTGAATAGTTATTTGCTTCGCCCCTGATGCTCTCCCTTGATCTATTTGTAAACTGCCACCAAATTCCCCCAAAGTCTTCTCTTTTCTAGGCTGAACAGTCTCATATCTGTCAGCCTTTCCTCATGGCTTGCTTTTCAGGCCTTTAATCATATGAGTTGTTCTTCTTTGGACTCTCTCAAGCTTCTCCACATGCTTCTTGAAGTGTGGTGCCCAGAACTGGATGCAGTACTCCTGCTCAGCACTGGTGAGGCTGCAGCTGAGCAGGAGAATAACTTTGTTTTGCTTGAGATACATTGGTTGAAACATGCCAGTGTATTGTTTGCTCTGCTAACTGTAGCATCACACTGGCATATATTCATTTTATGGTCAGTTATAACCCCCCAGGTCCCTTTCGGACATGGTGCTAGCTAGAGTAGCACCACCGAGCCTGTAAGTTTGTTGCGGATTTTTCCTCCCCAGATGGAGCACTTTACACTTCTCAGTATTGAACAGCATCTGGTTCTGGTCCACCCATCTAACTAATCTGTCTAGGTCTGCCTGGATCATTAGCCTACCCTGATGTGTGGCCGCACTTCCTCAAAGCTTAGTGCCATCTGCAAACTTTGCCATTGTGCTTTTCACCCCCACATCCAGATCATTGATGTAGATGTTGAAAAGCACTGGTCCAAGTACTGAACCCTGGGGGACCCCATAGGCTACCTTCTGCCAGTTCAACACAGATCCGTCTATTAGTACAGTCTGGGCCCAACCCCACAGCCAGTTTCCCACCCATCTGACCGTTGAATTGTTGAGTCCATAGTCCCCTAGTTTTACCTTGACAGCCTCATGGGACATCAAGGCAAAGGCCTTCCTAAAGTCCAAGTAAATGATGTCAACCTCATCTCCCTTATCCAGGTGGTGAGTAAGATAAGGTTACCCACATGACCTACCCACAACAAAACCATGCTGGCTCTCATTCAGAATTTTCCCTTCTACTAGCTTATCTCATATGGACTCCTTGAGAATTTTTTTTTTAGGATTTTTCTTGGGATTGAGGTCAGGCTGATTGGCATGTAGTTCCTTGGGTCCTCTCTCCTCCCCTTCTTGAAGATGAGCACAACATTGTCCCTTTTCTAGTCTTCTGAGACCTCTCCTGAGCACCACAAATTCTCCAAAGAGGTTTGCCAGCAGTCCTGTGATGACTTCAGCTAGTTCGTTCAGCACTCTCAGATGGGGTTCATTTGGTCCTGCTGACTTATAGATATCCAGCCTCTCTAGCCATTATTTCACGAGCTCTACCTTGCCCACAGAACAGCTCTTCCTAACAATGGTTGCTTTCTTCCATTAAGCCTCTCTCTCTCTCTGGATAGCATCTCACATGGCACTGTTAGGCAGCTTCAGAGCTCTTTAGGAGGTGAGTTGCATAGGAAAGCTTTCTGAAACTCTGACAAAAGAAAATCCCAAGTGAATGTGACATTTCATTTCCAAACACAATTCTGCCATGGTTGTGGCTAGGGAGAATGCAGTGGGTTCCCCTTTCTGCCTCCACATTTCCAGGGGCATTGCATAAGAGGACGGGTTAAGGAGCCAGATGTTCAGGTGCAGCTGTCCTTTACTGCCCAGTTTCTGGAACAAGTCT